CATTTTATTTCAATATTAAATTAATATTCTGTGTACATAAAAAATTGAATATCTTATTAGTTTCATCCAAAAACTAATCAAAAGTAAATTCCTGTAAAGTAACTGGCAGTAAAGCCCTTCTGACTCAAAAGATAAGTTATGAATCTCTATATTAAGATAAATAGCAGTAACATCAGTTTTTTAATTGCTTAAAATGCATTTATTATGGATATTTTTCTTTAACTACAAACATTAAGAAGTATTTTAATGAGATAAATATTATTTATATGAACAATGGTTTTGCTTCCTTTCATTAACCAATTGCATTTTTGCATGACAAATTAAAATTAGGATAGCCAGCTTGCCTCAAATATTATTTATTAATAGACTAAGATATCAGGCAGGAAATAATGTTTTCTTGCTTTTTCAAATTCTAAACCATTTTTTAACTGGAAATAATTTAACAAATAACAAATATTCTTTCTAAACCATTCTGTTATGAAAAGCTTAATTGTCTCTACAGCACTCCTATGATATCTTTCTAGGGAAAATCTGCAAATAAGACAAAAGCTTTAGATAGAGTTTTGCCTCTAAGAACCATGGTTGGCGTTGGCTCTGGTTCTGCAGACCCTCAATCCTGACACTCAGGAAACTGAGCCCAGAACAAGTTTAGCCTGTCCCCAGGCTTAGGGCCAGCTCTGCCTATGGTGAAGGTGAATTTTAAATCACCAGATAGGTATCAAATCAGCATTACTTCCAGTTTCACTCTGAACAGATGCTCTGATTCTAATAGAACTCCTGATATCTTTTTCCATGGTAGCTCATGGCAACAAGGACAAAGGGAGATTCTCAATAATAGTTAGAGCAGGACAGAAGAAATCAAAGCCAGAGACACAGTGCTGAGCATAATATGGGAAGGTTAAAGAGAGGCTGTGCCTATGAAGATCAATCATAAATCAAAGCATGAGGGATAAGACTGAAGCTGGATATGGTGCCTCAGATGGGCAAGGTTTTAAGAATGAAAATCATGACTGGAATACCAGTGTGTTCTGTGACAGAAGCTGTGTGACATGGCAGAGGGCTCCATGGCTGAAAGGACAACATAAGACTGAACATAAGCCTAGGTTCTATTCTGTAAGCAAGATGAATCTGTTTAAAATTCTGACCAGGAACATGACATGACCTGAAACATGTTTTAGAAATCTCACTTCAGTGTCAGTGTGATAGATTGGAAAAGAATAAGGTGGAAGGTGGCAAGAACATAAGGAAACAAGAAATGACAAAGGTGTAAATTAGGGCACCAGAATTGGGATATGTTTGGAAGATATTAAAGAAATAGAATTGATAGAAATTGATAACCAGTTGGCAGCTGGATCTGGGCTAATTGTGGTATTTGGGGATCATTCCCAGTTCTGGCTTGGCAAATGTGTTCTATTCACAAAGACAGGAAAATTCACAAAGAGCAGATTTTTGAGTAAAGATAATGAAGTCATTTCTGAAGGCTCACTTAAGCCAGCTAAAAGGATCTACACCAAATCAAAATGACAGCATTCCTTCAGCTACTCTGGATTAGCATCTCACCCTTGAGGAGTAACTAGAATTTGCTGCCATCATCTCACTTTGGGATATTTGCAGATGCTTAGAAGTATTTAAAAATAGGTATCAGTAGTAAACCTTACTTAGTTTTTACTTTTTAGTGTAAATGTAATATTTCTTAACTTTTGGCCTTTGAAGATGTGGTAGAATCCTTCTTGTTATTGCTATAGGTCTAGATATAACTGTCTTGGGTGGACCTTGCCAGATGATTACAGTGTGATTTTCAGTGTTCATTCTCATTCACTGATGGTGGACTTTCAGTTGCTATTACCTTTCTATGCAATGCTTTGAAAAAGTGTCCCAAAAGTCTTAACATACTTACATTCTATGACTCAGCAATTCTTCTAAGAATTTGTCCTATGGAAATTATCAGAGATGTTCATGAAGATTTACATAAGGGGATGTCTAGTACACTATTAGGCATAAGAGCGAAAAATCTAAAGGCTAACCAATAGAATTGGGCAGTAAGCAACCGGAAATAAGCTGACCCCTTACTAGTCAGGCTTTCTCCAGCTGAATGGGTAGACTTAATCTGCAGATCTCACTTTTTCTTTATCTCTTCATCTTAATCTTATTGTCATGCCGCTTCATACATATTTCATGTTTGATTCAGTCCTGCCCTTTCCAAGCCTAGTCATTCTGCACTATAAATGCTACCTGCCCTTTCTTCATCTAGTCCTCACAACTCTGTTCTTCTCTAGATAACAGGCTATTAATCTGAAACTCAAGCGCATATAACAATACAGGAAAGGCCAAGCCCATTGTATGTTCTCTACTCTTCTCCAAGATGAGATGTTTATTTTAGCACTAATCTTCTGAACCCATGCCCTGCATTTTGTGGGTTCACAGAGGATGGGAATTCCAAACAAAGCAGAAAACGGGACTGCTGTGCCAGTGAGTCAGACAAACACTCTAGAAAATGAAGTTTCCTGGCATTTTGCATCTCTTTGGCCATTTATTCCCATATACGATTGGGTTCATCCTTGCCTCTGATATATACGAAGGATGCTTATGTATTGCTTTTCTGGAAAGTTAAACTAAATCAATGTTTACAAGACATATTTCACTTGAAAGGAGTTACTGTTATCTCTGAAGTAGATGGAAATCACTGTAAAATGTATTCACATACCTAATATTTCTTCCGCACTTAATGAGTAATAACAATACTAAGAACTGAAAGCACTGACAAGAAATTCACCTTTAAATAATTAATGAACTGTACAAAGGATGTATAAAACCTTCTAAAACTGCATGAAGCTCCCCCCCAGGGACCACAGCAAATTTACAAAGGTGCCACAGGATGTTTGGTTTTCGGGAGAAACACAGTGACATCTGTCGGACACCACGCAAACTGCTAGCTCCAAGATCAGTGTCAGCATTACATGGATTTACAGTCCTTGTGATGACATCATATCATTCTGAAACTTTGTTTTTATTATTTTTATTTATTTATTTATTTATTTTGAGACGAAGTTTAGCTCTTGTTACCCAGGCTGGAGTGCAATGGCGCGACCTCGGCTCACCGCAACCTCCGCCTCCCGGGTTCAGGCAATTCTCCTGCCTCAGCCTCCTGAGTAGCTGGGATTACAGGCACGCACCACCATGCCCAGCTAATTTTTTTGTATTTTTAGTGGAGACGGGGTTTCACCATATTGACCAGGATGGTCTCGATCTCTCGACCTCGTGCTCTACCCACCTCAGCCTCCCAAAGTTCTGGGATTACAGCCGTGAGCCACCAAGCCAGGCCTCCGAAACATTTTCAATGTGAAAAAAGTACCAAATGAAAATCACTGTGAAACAAGAAATGAGAGCGATAATGTTCATTTGTTTCCAAGGTTTGAGAACTTTGGCAGTGACCAACAAATGTAGACAAACCTTTGGAAAATAATTGCATTTAGTTCAGAAGGACATGTGATTTTTCTCTGACTTTATATATTTTTTTCCATTCATGTTTTTAGGATATAAATAGTTATTAAGTTGTTTGAGCCTAACTGCTTAATAAACAGATCCATGGTATTTCTTTTGCCTAGAGACTGTAAAAATATTACTAGACATTAATGGTACTGAGGCTAGAGAAAGTTCAGGAACCTCTGCCTAAATGCTACGAAATGAAACATAAACTATACCTTGCTATTAGATATTGGCCCTTTGGCAAAATTCAAATGAAAACCTTTTTATGAAGACTTATTTGGGTATTACAAAAAGAATTTAACCTCCAAATATAAAGAAATTATTGATTTTTATCCATTTTTTATGGAACTAAACATTGGCAGCCATGGTGTAGGATTTTAAAAAGGTAAACACTAAGTCTTCAGTTTCAGAAGGATTAATTTTTTTCTACTACCTTTGATTTCATGTTTCTGTAATTTAAGGCAGTACAAACTTTTAGGCAAAGTGCCCAGTAATTAGTTGCCAAAGAATTTATTTGTATGGAAATCTCTCTTTAGCTCTTTTCACTGATGCTCAAAAGTGGTAACTTTAACCTCACTGATATCAGAAGAAACACCTGAGGCAGTGCCAATCAAGTCAGACTCTTTTACAATATTGCAGGTGCATACTTTGTTTTTAATATTCAAACCAGCACCAGTTATTCAAATCAGCTTACTTTATGTAAATTAGTCCCTTCAAACAGTCTCCTTAATCCAGGCAGTTATTAAATGAAATGGGATTTACCTTAACTAATGTCTGAACAAAGAGGGAAAAATGCACCAGGAAAAATTCTTTCATATCTTGGAAGTACTGGGATCACCCATGTTTACTTAAAACTCCTCTGACAAGAACAAGGAACAGAGTATAATTACTTTCTTGACTATCATTTTTACAGTTCCAATATGACCCTGCATTTAAGGAAAAGGGGAGAGGCATACATAGACAGGGCCTTTTGACTCTACCAGTCTGGCTTAGTGATTAGGAAAAGGAGACATCAATTTTGCCATTAATTTCCAAAGGGACATATTTAAGGAAACCTGTACCATTATGCTTGGGAAATCCAGTAGACTGCCTTCCAAGTGTCCTGTCCTGTTGCTCAAAATCAAAATTATTTTTATTAAAAAATTGACTTCTATTTAGAAGGAAATAGGATGTGTTGAAGAAGAAGGGAAGGAAGGGAGGAAGGGGGAGGGAAGGAAGGGAGGAAGGAAGGAGGAAAGGAAGGAAAGAAGGAGGGAAGGAAGGAAGGACGAAGGAAAGAAGGGAGAGAGGGAGAGAGGGAGGGGAAAGAGAATGAAAGAATGAAAGAGTGAAAGAATGAAAGAACATAAAGAAAAAGAGAGAGAAAGAAGACTTCCAGGATAGATTTTTTTGTTGCATTAAACTACAATGTACCAAAAAAAGTCAGACATTTTATAAATCAGATTTATAATCTTGAGATGTGAATCAAACATAAGTTTTAAAGTATCAAACTAAAGTTGAACTAGGAGATAAAGGTGAGTTTTAATGTCTCTCTTTTTTTTTATTTTTCAATTGCTATTTATCATTGTTAAAGAATAGCTTGAGAGAAACCCACTAAAGTTTGGAGCCAAGTCCACAATTATTAGTTACATTGTTTTGTTTTAGTTTCAATCTTTTGTAACTAAAGGAATGTTAAGAGTAAAGTAGCATCATAAATTGCTTTGTTTTAGTTATATTCTTTTGTTTATGTTCAGAAATTGCACTTGTTAATGTAATACTGATAAGCCAAAACGTCGTCACTTGGAAAGCTGGGAAATTTCTTCTCACAGTGTCTTTTTGAAGGTAGCAGCTCAATAGAAAGTGACACTTAATTTGGCAGATCCTGGTCTTAGGACCCCAAGAGAATAAAACTGGTAACAGAGGTACACGATGGAGGCTGAGTCAGCATGGAATTCACTTTGTCAAAGTGTCATAAGCAACCTAAGTTGGGGGCACGAGTGGGGTTGGTATAAGAGGGATTTCGAGGGAAACCATAGAATTTATGTTTTTATAATTTGCTGTACTTATCTAAGACTTCCATTCTGTCAAGTGGTATTTTTTATACTTAATGTATTTGACACCTTCATTTCAGATCCTAAATAATCAGTGTAGAATAAACTCCAAAGACACTCTCAAAAGTTAGAAACAAAATCATAAAAGTCATCCTCTGAAACTGAAGTTAATTAACAGAGAATGTGATTAGCCTTCTGCGAAAGTGACCCACAACAGCCCCTTTGAACTGAGTAGTGCAGAAGACTGGTGTGTCCCCAGCTCTCTTCAAAGAATTAAGCAACTACAGCCTGAACTTTGACTTTGAATAACCTGGAAGACCACATTTTGCTCATAAATGATAACAAAATGATGTGCAATCTGCAAGCAGTTTAGAAAACAGAGTTGAAAAATAACCATGTGTTAGAGTTTATCCAGAGACCTGGAATCTACATGATAAAAGTCACTAGAGATATGTACTCCATGGTAAAAGTATAATTCTTTAATTTTTGCTGTAACTCAAAAGAAATATTCCTCAAGCCTACTCAGTTTATTTTATCATGATTTTATATATTCATGTTTGCCTCACAATTTCTTGGTTAGCAACCTGGATTCCAGGGAAGCTTGATCATGGGAAGAGCTACATGAGATAAGGTTTTCTCGTGACAAGAAAAGTAAATCCCCACTGAATATTAATGTTGGCACTTGTTTATACATCAATCCATGTTCCTTGTTAGCCTGAAGTCAATCCCCAGAAGCTCATCATTCCTAAGGGAACTGATAGCAATAAGTGTCTTGAAACTGGATTCTGAATCTATGAAGTTTTCACCAGTCTGCAAAAGAACTCAGCCTGAACAAATGTCGAAACAGTAAAAAGTAACATGCAGGATACACCATGATGCATTTCTGCAAATCCCTGGAATGTACAGCACCAAGAGTGAGCCCTAATGTAAACTAGGGACCCTGAGTGATAATGATGTGTCAATCAATGGTGGGGGATGTTGACAGAGAGCTGAGCATGTTGGGGTATATGGCAACTCTCTGTACAGTACTTTTTATTCAATTATGCTGTAAACCTAAAACTCTTCTGGAAATATGAAATCAATTTTCTGTAGGGGTTCAGTATCACCTTATTAGTGAATTTCAGCCACCTCAGAAAAACCAACCTAGAGGGTGCCTGGGTTGGGCACTGATGAAGAGACATGCCTGGGCTGTAATTTGCAGTAGAGTTTGATGCCATTTTTGATGTTTGACTGTTGATGGCTTTCAAGTATCATCACTTCTTCTCCCACTACCCCATCAGGGCAAGCTAATAAGAAAGCCCAAATGTTCCCTCCTTTGACACCACAGCAACCTGGAGTTCAAAGCACACACTTTGGCATGAAAGAGAACCGAGTTAAAATCCTGACACTGCTCCTTCTTGGGTGACATCAGGTAGTCCATTTATTCTCTCTGAGTCTCAGCTTCTTTATCTGTAAAATAGAGGTAATAAATATGTACCTTCAGTTCTGTGAGAATTAAATGAAGTAACATACAAAAAGCATATGACAAGGTTCCTGATGCGTAGTAAGACTTAATACAGTAATTGCCATACTCTGCCCAAAGTGAATCCTGTGATGTTGGACCTGATTTAGATGCTATTCTTCATGCCAAAAAGAATATATCTTCTCTGACTTCTCAGAGGGGCTAAGGGACACAGAAATAAGAGCAAGAGATGGCAGATGGCAATACCAGGCCCTTGGATTTTAAAAAAGCATTTCCAAGTAATAAGTTGTTAGGGTCAAAAATTTTGTAAAATATATTGGCTTTTATAAAGCATCAAGCTTTCTTATTAATACAATTGATATAAATTTCATTAGTTTGAATCTAAACATTAATCATTGTGTAGACCAGAAGACCACAAATTTTCTGCAACTAATAATAAATGTCATAATATAAGAAAGTGATTATTGCAGCAAATACCAGATGAGGACACAAAACAACAATGGAACCCAAAAAAGAAGGTCAATCACAATTTGGATAAAAAAAGGAAAATTCGACAGAGATAACACATAACCAAATCTAGCTAAGGTGTTTGTGAATTCATTAATGCAGAACAATGGAAATTAGTATCAGCTTACATCAAGCTATCGTACTAAATAGCACAAATAAATTAAACATCATATTAGTTTTAAGGCGTTGTTGAGGACATCAATCACTACCTCAAAAAGGGTCCTTTTGTCACTGAATCAGAAATAGTTTTACTTTTCCTAAACATCTGTTTGTGGGTGGCTTAAGAACCCTGTGAATAAAATGTTTGTGTTTTCTTCTTCATGATGGCTGCTGGAGAAAACTCGTTGACTACCTCTTGTAAGAATCTATGATGTCATAACTAGCATTTGTACATTCTGGAATTCCTCTACTTCTATTATACATATTCCCTTTGTCAAAATTCCCTCAATTATTTTTAATTTATTCCAATATGAAGTCATGTTTATATTTATGCAAGCCATCTTTTAATAATAATATGAGGTAAAAACAAATTTTTGAATGTAATAAGCAAGAAAGGTTTAGGATATGACCCAAAAAATGAAATGAGTGCTATGCAGACGGCTAAGTCTCATTAACATCACTCAGACTTGTTAAGGTTTGTTTGCTTTTTTTCTTTCTATTGCTGGTTTTGCGTCTTATCTCACCTATAGCACAATTCAGAACACATAGCACATTATTACATAGTATGACTCTTGTATTTGTTAAGGAAAAGAGAAGGCCAGAGAAGCAAGAAGGAAAGTGAAGTCCTGGGTCCCACCATTTCTGCAAATACATCAGAACAATGCATACTTAGGCCATGGCCCTGCTGGGCCCACAGTTGGGGTTTGCATTCCCATGGGCCTTCAACATGTTACTCTGCCTTCTTGATTGAGCCAACTGAGAAAACAGTGTTGTCATTTGGAAGTACACAGGCGGCTTGTCCCAGGTCATCTGTCTGGGGGAGCCAGCCCTTACAGTGTTTGTCTGGAAACACCAACTGCCCAGCTTCTAGAGACTTTGGAGCACATGGGTTGTTGCAACCCACCTGCTGGAGAGAAAAGTACCTGGTCCCATGGAAAGTTGTGTTTGATGCAGCCTCACTCCCATCCTGCACTGGGAAAAGCGTTCTTCCAGGACTTGGCTGATTTGTTTCCCAGGCCATCCTAGATGAGAAACCAACCCTGACAGCACCTCGAAGGGTCACTTGCAGTCACTTCTGCTTGTTGCCCCCAGTCATCTGTGAGTAAGTGTTTAACCACAGGTCTCCAGTGGAGAGAACCGGAAAGCTCAGGTTTGTAGTGTTTGCCAGTTTCTATCCTATTTCAAGCTACTAAGGTAACATCACTGCACACACATTTGGAAAGAGCTATGCGGCCTCTCACCATTAGGTTTATTCCCTTTGGGCAGACACAGCAGATGTAAACAACTCCAAGATTATTGATAATCATGAAATGGAGAGCAGTAATTAGAAAATGATATGTTCTGAGTAATAACCTGTGTATTAAATTTAATTTTTTAATTGTAAGTTTATATCATTTAGTTTTTAATAATAGCTGTGCTTAATATTAGGCTCATAAAATTCATGAAAATATGACAATTGGCTCTCACAAGCCAGTGCAAACTGGTTTCAACAGACCGCGTTTTGGTTTGTTGTTGTTGTCACTGTTTAAGCTTTGTTGACATGTAATGGATATACAAAAATTGCACCTATTTACTGTATACAATGTAATTAGTTTGGACATATACCTATAACTGTGATGTCATCACACAATCAAGGTGATAAACATATATGTGTCACCTCCAAAAATGAACTGCGTTTGTGTGTGTGTATGTGTGTGTGTGTGTGTGTGTGTGTGTTGGTAAAACTTCACGAGATCAATTGTCTTAGCATATTTCGAAGTGCACAATACTGTATTGTTCATGGTCAGTACCATACTGTACAGCAGATCTCTGCAACTTAATCATCCTGCATAACTGAAACACACCACACCTTGTTTCATAAAGCTTCCCTAAAATTCCGTGGAGAGCTTGGTGCCTCTTGGCAATTTTTAAATCCTGTTTTGTTTGTTTATTTTTTACAAAGATTCAGAACAGAAGGAAGACATCAATACCAAATTGCAAAGAATGGCATGCATTATCTTTATTGCTGACAACGTTTAACATAGAAAAGCTGAGAGAGTTCCACAGATTTTTAAAGTGAAGCAACTGAAATATAAATGTGAAATGATCTTATGTCACTATCTTTAAAAAGCCTGGAAAGAAACAGCGTCAGAAGTTGAAGAAAAATGACAATCATATTTTTTTATTCCCTAAAATACAGATTTTAGTATTTGTTTATTACTTCTGCAGTCAATAATAAGAACTATTGTTTTTGGACCTCATAGTCTAGCAAGAATTCTTCATTAATTCACAATAAGAAGTCATTGAATGAGTGCTTTTGTTGAAGTGAGCAGCTAATATTTTAATAGTATTTCGTAGCCTACATACACTCTCCTATTTACTCCTCGCTAAAAACCTGAAAAGGTAGTATTATTTTCATCTGTTTTGTGTCCATTAGGAAATGGAGGCATCTTCAGTGATTTGCCCAAGGCCACACAATTCAGTCAGTAGAAAACATAAATTTTTTCTCCTCTTTTTCACCTTTCTTCTTTCATGTATTTCTTTACAAAGATTTAGGGGTAGTGTATTAGTCTGTTAGGGCAGCCATAACTAAACACCATGGACTGGATGACTTAAACAACATAAATTTATTTTCTCACAGCTCTGAAGCCAGGAAGAAGTCCAAGATCGAGATGCCTTGGGGTTGGTTTCTGTTGAGACTTCGCTTCCTGGCTTATAGACACTGCCTTATTTCTGTATCCTCACATGGCCGTTCCTTTGTACATGTGTGGAGAGAGGGGGAGAGAGAGAGAGAGAGAGAGAGAGAGAGAGAGAGAGAGAGAGAGAGAGAGAGAGATCTGATCTCTCTTCTGCTTGTAAGGACACTAGTCCTGTCAGAGTAGGGCCCACCCTTATGACCTCACTTAATTTTAGTTAACTCCCTAGAGGCCCTCTCTCCAAATAGGGTCACATTGGAGGTTAGGGCTTCAAAACATGATTTTTATGGGGACACAATTCAGTCTGTAACATGTAGCTATTACATTGCAGACACTAAATTAAAAGTGGAAGTGCCGTAACAAACAAGAAAGACCTAGTCCCTGATTTCATGGGGTTTACAATGCAAAACAGACACTGAATACAACCACATTTTCTCACAAACAGCATTATCTGTAGAAGAGACAATGGTCACCGCAGTCTTCTTCATACTGTGGTTTTTTCCCCCAAAAAAAATTTGTTTTGTATGCCTAAAAGGATAAACTTCAGACCACTTTGTGTCTAATTCATCTGTCTTTAAATTTGTGGAGGCTGAGTTAATAAAAATATGTTGGAAATTAAAGGAAACAGGAAGAAGAAGTGAGGTCCTCCCTGAAGACAGAAGCAGCATTAAGCCAAGGCTTGTCAACAGGAATGCTGTGTTGCCATGATGAAAGACAAGGAATGTTTTTGTGAATTCTGTGCAGGCAGGTGCTTTGCCTCTTTTTCCCACGTAGACCAGTGAAGAGCAGAAAACTTTCTCTTTCATGAGTACCAAAAATCGACAGGTACTATATCTAAGTAGTCTCTGCTATTAAGTCCTTGCTGTTAAGCTGAAGGAAATCCGCAAGTGATTCAGAAATTTTTTTAAAGAATGAAAAGAACTGTACTCAACAGCATCACAGCCCTTTGAGTCCATAATTCTGCATCATCTTCCTGCAGTGCAAATGGCAGTTTAAAAAAAAAATGGGAGAAAAGAAAAAATTCTAAGACCTTCTGTTCAATGATATGCAAATGAAACAGCTACTAGGTCACCAAGCACCATGGATTCTCATGGATTCTAATTCTGCAGTGTTTTCTGAATCCATCCTCTGCTTCCCAGCTGGTGAAAGTTTATATTGAATCAGATATAATATTGGCATGAGTCAAACAAATCTGGCTTTGGCTTCTGTCTCTAGTCTCATGGTTACTAGTTCTATGAGCTTGAGCAAAACACCCAGTCTGAAGGAGCCTTTGTTTCCTCACGTTAAAAATTATAATAAAAATAATAGCGCTATGCTAGGCTCTATCAAGGAAGATAGACATTTCTAGCTATCTCAGGATATTATCAAGATATTATGTATGATATAAAAATATTCTGCACAGCAAAGGAAACAACTGTGGACAGAGACAACCTATGGATTGAAGAAAAAGTATTTACAAGACATACATTTGATAAGGGGTTAATATGCAAAATACATAAGGGACCCAAAGAACTCAAAAGGATAAAAACTACACACCCATATTAAAAAATGGGCAAGGGACAGAAATAGACTTTCTCCAAGGAAGATATACAAATGGCCAAAAGGCATATGAAAAAAAGCTTCAACATTGCCAATGGATAGGGAAG